TAGAATTTTGTGGCCCCTCATATGTACTATAATATCATCAATTAATGATGCATTGAATTCTTCATTTCCAATTTGTATCCCCTGATATCATTTAGTTGTCTTGGTGATGTAGCTAGAACTTCAAGAACTGTATTGAACAGATATGGAGAGAGTGGACAGTTTTGTTTTGTCCCTGATATTTGTGGAATTGCTTTCAGCTGCTGTTTAATTTAAAGTTGAATACCAACTTGCTATATATAGACTTTTTTGGTTTTTCAAGATTGTTTTGGTTTTCCAAGACAGGGATTCTCTGTGTAGCTTTGGAGCCTATCCTGGCACTAGCTCTGGAAACCAGGCTGGCCTCGAACTCACAGAGATCTGCCTGCCTCTGCCTCCCTAGTGCTGGATTAAAGGCGTGCACCACCAATGGCCAGCTATATAATGAATTTATTATGTTTAGGTCTGTTCCTTTTATCCCTGATCTCTTCAAGACTTTTTATAATCAAAGACTGCTGGATTTTGTCAAAGGCTTTCTCAGCATATGATGAGATAATCACTTTTTTTCTTTCTGTTTTTGTTAATATGGTGGATTACAATGTCAGAATTTTTTAATGTGGAACCATCGCTGATTCTCTGATGAAACATACTTGATGATGGTGCTGATCTCCTTGTTGTGTTCTTAGATTCACTTTGCAAGTATTTTATTGCTTCAATGTGCATAAGTGAAAATGGTCTCTAATTCTGGTTCTTTTTGAGTCTTTGTGCATTTTGGGTGTCAGGGTGACTGTGGACTCATAGATGAATTTGGCAATGTTTGCTCTGTTTCCATTTTGTAGAATAAACTGAGCCATATTGGTATTAGCTCTTCTTTGAAGGTCTAGTGGCCTTTGGCTCTTTTAATAACAGCTTGTATATCCTTGGGTGTTATAGGTCTATTTAAATTGTTTACCTGATCTTGATTGAAATTTAGTAAGTGATATCTATTGATAAAATTGTCCCTATCTTTTAGATTTTCCAATTTAGTTGAGTAAAGTTTTTGAAGTATGACCTAATGATTGTTTGAGTTTCCTCAGTGTCTGTTGTTATTTCCTTCTTTTGGTTTCAGATTTTATTAATTTAGATATTCTCTCTTTGCCTTTTGGTTATTTTGCATAAGGGCTTCTCTTTTTTGTTGATTTTCTCAAAGAACTAACTCTTTGTTTCCTTGATTCTTTGTATTGTTCTCTTGGTCTCTATTTTATTGAATTCAGCCCTCAGCTTGATTATTTTATAACATTTTCTCCTCTTAGGTGTGCATGCTTCTTTATATTTAATATCTTTCAAGTGTGCCTTTACGTCTCTGGGATGAAGATTCTCTAATTTTCTATTACAGGCTCTTAGTGCTATGAATTTTCCATTTAGCACCACTTTTTGTCCCATAAGCTATCCCATGTTTTGTGTTCATCTTCATTGTACTCTAGGAAAACTTCATTTTCTTTCTTATTTCTTCTTTGACCCATTTGTCAATCAGTTGAGAATGATTCAGTCTTCATGAGTTTGTAGGCTTTCTGTTGTTTCAATTATTGTTGCAATCCAACTGTAACCAATGGTGTTCTAATAGGACACAGTGGGTTATTTCTAATATTTTTTATCTTTGGATTCCTTCTTCGTGAAGGTTGCATGAGATGTTGAGAAGATGGTATATCATTTTGTTTGGGTGAACAGTTCTGTAGATGTCTGTTAGATCCATTTGAGTCATAAGACCTATTAATTCCATTATTTTTCTGCTTAGTTTCTCTCTGGGTGCCCTATCCATTCCTGAGGGTGGGTTGTTGATGTTTCCCAATATTAATGTGTGGGGTTTGATGTGTGGTTTAAGTTTTAGTGATGTTTCTTTCATAAATGTCTGTGTCTTGCTTTGGGGGCATAGATGTTCAGAACTGAAATGTCATCCTAGTGGGTATTTCCTTTCTTCATCTCTTTTCAATGACTTAGGTTTGAAGCCTATTCTGTTAGATATTAGAATAGCTACTTCAGCTTCCTTGTTG